TGATACAATCATGTGAGACAGCAAATATACTTTTTATGGCATCACAGCTTTAGGACACACGGCCTCAGCCCTTAATAAACAACATAAAGAAGTTTGGCTTTTCTGTGTTCCCTCTGTTTCTTCATTAGTTTGTATCAGCAGGGGAAAGGTTTTCACTTCTTGACTCAGTGAGTGCTGCAAACTGAGAAAACAAGGGCAGTTTGACACCTGTGTGGTGTTCAGTTTCACTGGGGAAGTCACACTGAACAATACTCCGTTATTATTAATGATCTCTGATCCCCGACTAAGTCACGAGATAATATTTAACAACAAAGATTCAGAATCGACCACTTAAACTCATTTAAAAGTTGACCATAAAAACTTCAGTATGCCATGGGGAAAATATGACATTTATACATCTGATAAAAGATATAAAACATCTCCTCTCAGCACCAAAGAAGAACAGAGATTACGAAAATGTAGAAAATTTAGTGGCAAAGGTGAATATTGGGCTTCCTTTTTTTGCTAAAGGGACAAAAGTGAATCCTTATCAACTTTACAAAATAGAGTAATTTAGATGAAAAGTTGGTCAAACTGAAAAGGTACTGGCCTTTGCTGCTTGATTCTGCCTTCAACAATGAGCCAAAGTTATAATCAGCCTTGTTTCCAAGTCTTGGAAACAAACCATTTATTGCCTCGGAGAGTGCTCTTCAAACACACTGAACACACGATATGTACTTTTCAACACAGTCTCAACCTCACGTATTCTCACACCTGTTTTTCACATTTACCGCTGCGTAACATTTAAAGCATCATTTTGGGATTTAACTTAACAAACAGGAGGTTGTTGTGTTGCATTGCCATTCATGCAGGGCTAAGAGATATAGCGCCTCACGACATGGGTCGAGGAAAAGAGATTCAAAGGCCTTTTGGAATCCTGCCTCTCGTGAAGCTTCATTTTGGCAATAAGGGGGAGGCACAAGCGTCTTTCCAGGTGGGGGATGGGGGGGGGCGGCTTAATCAAGTTTCAGGTGGCCGAGCTCCTTGATCAGCCACCATGAGAAACTCCTGAGTGGTCAGAGGTGGGGGAGGGTGGGAACCACAACACGGAGCTGACTCTTTAAATTCACTTTTAAACTGAAGTCTCGACATCCCTGCAGCACAATAGTTTAAGAGCACTTTTAGTAAAAGACACAAAGCAATGAGACGCAGACCCGTGTTGCTGGGTCCACCATTTTTCTGAGGACATCCCCTACTCTCGAGGCGTGTGAACATATCAACTATGTATCCAATAAGCAACTCGCAAGACTAAAAGGAATAGCCAGTAAGACAATACCCAGATGAAAGCCAGAAGGAATGGATCTCTGTTATGACTGGGAGGCTTAAAACCAGCGAATCATTAGAGGCTGAGAGGCTCTGGAGCTGTTTTGGCTTTCTGGCCTCAGGTCTGCTTAACTTTGGGGTTCAGCAGAGGTGACGGTGCTGGTGGGGGGGAAATTCAAACTTGCAACGACAAACAACCAGACATTTCAGTAGAAGAGCCTCTGTTCTGTTTTACGGAATGGAAAAAAAAATCACAATTGCATAAAAGGTTTTTGTAACATGTACTGTATCAAGTTTTGCAACATGGCTTCGAAACTTGAATGATTTAAGAACCAATAAGAAAAAAACCTGTGAGTTTGACAAAAGGAAAACCCAGACTAAAATCAGCACCATTATGTCAGTACACGACAAGCAATGGCACAAATGATGTGAACAGGATCTACCAGGAACAAACTTTTTGCTCATGGAGGTACCGCCAACTTGCACACTTAAAAATCTAAACTGCCTTAAATCAGCCCCCACCAGTGGGTAAACGTTGGAGATGTGTGTGGAACAGTCTGCCCTGACTTTGCACATCTGGGGGGAAATTGGAGTGTCTTTTCCATTAAGCGTGACATCTGTGAGGACATAATGAGTAGCACGAGCAGCTAAATGAGCGATCCAGAGAAGTCATGTAGCTAACTTTAAGATGTACTATAGATGAAAAAAGCCTATATAGTGGATGGGTGGGTAAAGAGATGTTGAAATAATAGCTGGAGGCATCAACACATGTGTCATGAAGCAGTGGTCCCATTTACCTCCTGTGGCGTTTGTTAGGGCCTGAGAAAGCAGTACATCTGGGACTCATTGTTGTCTTTATCTAAAAGTTGGCCTGATAATTTCGTATTCCCTTAGCACTAACACACACACAATAAGAAAAAAAGGAGAGATGGCTCACAGTGGCATGCAAAATTGGGACTTGTATAGCTAAGATACCCTAATCTTGGCTTTCAGTCAGGTAGATGAATGGTCACCTAATGCTGTAAAGGTATAGATCCCCGGATAAAAGTTAGGGTGCCAAAACGAATTTGACCCAGAAAATGCAAACTTCAAACTAGTAGCTGTCTAAGATTGTGAAAATTTTCGATTTCTCAAAAAAGAGCTTCAGTTTGTGATCAAATCAGTTCCAACCAAACTGAGTGGCTTTAGGTCAGAGCATCACAATGCTTTTAAAACTGTGTTTACTTCTTTTAGTCAGTGATCACTTTGTGACATCTGGTTTGTGTTTTTAACAGTTGGTTCTTTTTGCACATTGCACACACTCACATACACACACACACACACACACACAAGCAGCGACAGATTGGTGACAGTGGTTTACTGGTATGAAAAGCCTCACAGGAGGCTTGGAGACTGAATGAATAACACATCAGGGAGGCATCAGAGTAGCGGTGCAGAGAATTCACTGGAAATAGCAATAAGTGTATCTCAGGAGCTCTGGGATTCACTCGCTATCCCGACAGCCACAGTAAGCCTGCAGTGCACTTGTGTTTTAAGATTTTCACCCATAGGAGAATGTCATGTGGGAAATCGTTTTTAGGGGTTTTATCCAAAAGTTAAACCAGTTCCAGGGTGTTGTATCTTTTCGCTTTCTTTTTTTTTCTTTAGCAGAAACTGCAGTAATGTTCTCTTCATAGTCTGATGAAATCAAATACTAAAGCAATCAGCCACAGCCACAGGGTCACATCAGTGAACTGAGGCCAACCCGCAATGTGATTTTACCTGAAATGAAGGCATGAAATAAAGATTTGGACTGATTTTTGAGAGAGAGAAACTTTAAAAATAGCAACAGCCTTGACCGGGAGACGAAATGTTTCAAAAATCGAGGCCAGAGGAACCCAAAGTGTTTCCTGTGAGCGCACCGAGTCCAATCACACACAATGGTTTGACATCAGTCTTCAGGGGACATGAAAAACAAGATTCCTGTTAAACATCCATCAACTATGCGTACGACTTTACAAGCTCAAATGATTAATGGGAAGCTAATGGCATCGTAGCCAAAAGCCTCCCAGCTCCAGTCGAGGACAGTGATGAATGCCCTCTGAGCTCATTGTTATTGCTTTAAATCTTCTTAAACGTTCAAACTCAGCACAACTTTGGATGCATCACATTGCCTTTTTTTTTTAAATCACACCATATAATCCATCCATTTCCTCCTGCTCATTTGAGGAGTGGTAGAAGAGGCAACATGAGACAAACCCAGACGTCCCTCCATTCTCCAGCTCTTACTGGGGAACGTTCCCAGGCCGGAAGGAATCCTTCCAGCGGGTGCTTTCAGCCCTGGGACCCAACTCCCAGTTGGCCATGCCCAGAAAAGAGGGGTGGCGAGGAGGCATCCTTACCTGATGAGCTCCTCTTCCTCCGGTTACCGGGGCAGCAGGCGCAGACAACCTCCAGGCCACTCCTCTGCGCCAGGTACCGAACATGGTCTTCATGTTCTCTATGTGAGGACACCTCCAGGACATGGTCCTCACTGCACTTTCCTAATATCTAGAATCACAGATAGTTGACTACTACAGCATAATTCTTTCACATTCATTTGTGTGTATTGTACAAATTCCATCAGTGGACAAAATGAGTACCCACTTAAATGAACAGCCGCTTCAACAAAAGCTGACAGCATCAAATGTGTCAGTCCCAAAGAAAGCAGCAGCACATTAAATAGAGGCAAAAATAATCAGTGCTAAAGATGTTCTGCGATAATGTCTGACAGGCCACATTTTCACAAGCATTTCAAATGAGGAGCTCGTATAGTGAGCTAACCTGACTTGTGGGTTCATTTTAAAAAAGTTTTCTATTACTGCATACTGATGTAATTCTATTGCTTTAATATCACCCAAGTCAGTTAAGATGTCTGCTAAGCATCAAGTGCACACACAGAATATAATATACTAATATTTGAACATGTTTACAGCCCAAAACAGATTCAGATGATTCAAGTGGCTATCAAACAAAGAACTAAACGAAGTGATTCCTAATTTTCTGGTCAGCGACTGACATTTGCAAGTTAGCTATAAAAGCGCAACATGCAAATATTACAACTTTGTTTGTCGTGAAGCCATATCCTATATATTAAGCCTGCTAAGCCTGTAAACACTGTAAAATGTGACCAAGATATAAGTGATCTTTATTCCCCCACTTTTTTGTAATTCTTTCGACTGATTGTACCACAATGTCTCTCTCTCTCTCTCTCTCTCTCACTCTCTCTCTCCCCCTCTCTCTCTCTCTCCCTCTCTCTCTCCCCCTCTCTCTCTCTCTCTCTCTCTCTCTCTCTCTCTCTCTCTCTCCCTCCCTCTCTGCCTCCCCTGCTTACAGCCGCCCGGCTCCCATGTGTGGATCTGCTCTCCCCATTGGCTCCTCGGCCCGGAGGGGGCGTTGCTTTGCAGCTGTCGAGAGCCTCGGGTGTTGTAGGGATGGCTGAGGGGAAGAAGAAAGCGGACTTGGCACCGATCCCCCCTTTAGCATAGACTCCAATCTGCATTAGGCGGCAGTATTATTATTATTGCTATCGTTTTCCCCCGTCAGGGGCTGGATGGGGGGTGAATGTGTCACAGGCGGTCGGGCTCTGCGGAGGCTCGTGGGTGCGTGCTCAGTAAGGCGATGAGCCCGGTGCACTTTGCAAGAGTTGTGCTGCAGAGAGCCTCCGCGGATCCCGAGACCTGTTGCTGAGAGCACCGGGGAGAGCACCGGGGAGAGGAGGGGGCCGCTCGGCCAGGGACGGAGGGTACTTCCTTGGAGAGGACAGCCGGGGAGGGGAGGGGGGGGGTGTTTCTTTTTCGGAGGAAATCATGCAGTTTGCAATCTGGCTGGTTGGACTAACGTGTCATCTGTCAGCACTGGTCCGGGAGACTCAGCAGCACCGGTTGCATCTCAAACAAGGTAGTTTTGTTTTTACGCGTAAAAAGTGGTTCCGCTGATGGTGTGTGTGAGTGAGTGGGGGGGTGTTTGAGGCTGGTGCCCGGTGGATTGCACGCTTGTCAGTCTCTGCATCTGCATTCATTCCGGCATCTGAATCACCATGTCTCCCTCTCCATGCCCCCCCCCCTCCGTCCCCCACAGAAAACTTCATCAGCCAGCTGTCATCGTACGAAATCATCACCCCGCTGCGCGTAAACGACTTTGGAGAATCGTTCCCGCACAAGCTGCACTACAGGCGCCGGCGCAGGAGTTTAAATGAAGACCTGTCGGGCGTGCGCGTGCACTACAGGATCGACGCGTTCGGGGAACGCTTCCATCTCAACCTGAGCGCCGACTCCAGCTTCATCTCCCCGTCCTACACGGTGACGCACCTGGGGGCCGAGCGGGGAAACGGCACGGAGCGCAGCGACATGCGCCACTGCTTCTTCCGCGGGCACGTGAACGCGCGGAGCGAGCACGCCGCCGCCCTCAGCCTGTGCGCCGGCCTGGTGAGTACCGTGGACGCGCTCTGTGCCATATAGACTTCACGCACGATGAGGCGATGCTGGGGACAGTGCGCGATAATGTGATGACACAGATCTGTCTCCCAGCATCCCCTCTGCCGGGGGACCGTTGAGCAAGATGCACCTGCGGCCAGTCAGTGGCACTTCAGAGAAAATGTGTTTGCTTATTAATTATGGTTGTGGTGCTGCAGGGATTCTTTAAATGACACATTTAGAAACACACAAAAATCAAAGGAAAGTCATTTGTGGCCTTAGAAGACTTCTGTTATGGCTCCATGCCTCTGTCCTCAGTCGGTCAGTATGGACCTGATGTCCAAGTGACTTTTGTTTGCTTTCCATGTCATTGGTTCCTTATATGCCATGCTTCCTCTACTTACTTCCTTCAGAGGAGCACGCGGGCTGTCTAACCCAGCTTTAATGAGACTTTGGTTGGTTCCCTGCAGATTGAAAGCGGGAGCTGCTGATTGATTGCTGATTTTGCCCGTGAAATGTCTCGTGACACATTTAATTGACACATTCCGTTTTTGTCAGGCTGCAGGAATCTGACAGACGGCTTGAACCCTCTATATTTTTATGTCATTGACTATGCCAGATGCTTTCTTCGAAGCATCCGTGTGATACCTTTCGCTGATTTTTTTGTCATGTCAAGTGGACTTTTTTTAAACTGGAGAGCCAGAAAAAAGTTTTAAGATACTGATTTTAGTTTCCTATTTGAATGAGATAGGTTTTTTGTTCATACATTTTGCATTGGCTTAAACAGGTCAGTTATTTTAAGTTAAATATAAACATCATCGCAGTCCTTTCACACAACTTTAAACAGTTCCCTGTCTGTGTGTCAAGTGGGGATCCTGGTGCTCTTGCCGTTTTATTTGCTGACTCCTATGGGAGAGAATCTGATAACTGTTGAAGGGGATGACTTCATGGGTCACATGAGGTTACTGATCCAGCAGCAGGGGGTTGACCCCGGCCGCGTCAGTCAGATTCTGTTGGGGGTCGCCGGCTGGCCACAGCCACACAGACAGAGCAGGCCTAGCCTCGGAGAATCCCTATTCCCATCGCAGCGCACGTCTGAGTCATAATCCTCATTTTAGACCGGCGCAGCAAGTACAGTATCAGGATGTCGCTGGACTCAGAGGGCACGGCTGCTCTCTGTGTGTCTGAGCCAGAATGTTCAGCGTCTGTGGTGATCCTACTCCCATTCAGTCCTCAGGAAGAAGAAAAACACTGTGTCCAAAAGATAACTTGCATTTAGTGTAGAGTTTTAAAAAAAAAAGGAAACAAGCAAATAAAGTGATTTATTGTCATGTTTGCACAGCAACTTGAGTCTTGAGATGTCCTACAATTATCAGGGCAATAAGCCTTTAATTGCCCCTCTGCCCTACTTTGATGCACAGCTCACTCATCCAAACATGTTTGCTTCCTTTTTTTTTTTTTTAAAACACTCCTATCAGTCACTGAGAATGACAGCACAATGGCTACAATTCCAGAGGCTATTGGGTCATAAATGTGTCTGTTTCTGATCACTGGGGCTTAACGGCCTGGCCACATTGTGTTGGGATGAGGTATAATTCAGCCCTAAAACAAAGGGGTCATTCTGGGAAAAAGCAGGTTCCCCCTTTGGTCCAGAGTTACTCAAAGCTATCCCCAGGGGGCAGTTGGTAAAAAAGGGGGGAGAGGGAGGGGGGGGCAGGGTTTAGGAGGTGTCGGCCTTTTCAGAATGAGCCGTGATGGGCAGAAAAGAGGAGAATGCTCTGAAGAGAGACGGCTGCCAGCCGAGGCCTGCAGGGATCTTAGGGATTGCTGGCACCGTGGGAAAAGTGAGCTTGTGGTGAGGCTGGTATAATAGAAGTGTGTGGAAGGACAACCCCGTGCTGAGAAATGAATTCTTCTCCCCAATGACGCACCTCTGTTTAAGATCGGGCTCCCGGCACATCTGCGAGCCGCTTAACTTCAGAGGTGGTGCGCTTTCCGATGACTCAGCACCCACAGGATCTCTTTGGGCCTCAGCGGGATTTAAGAAAACGGTTGTGTGCCGACAGGGAGTGTTACCTGGCTTGGATCGGAGGCCTGTAGGCGTAGGGTCCAGTTCAGCACCCGCTGATGAACAGCAACTTCTGTTCCTGTCCAAACGTCTGCTAAACGGGAAACCCTGAAACTCTGCCACCTCAGCCCAGAAAAAAACAAAAAAACAAAAAAACAAGGCATTTATCTATTCAGGCTTCTGTGAACACCCTATAGGAACCTCAGAGAGAGACGTAACCATTATCCTCCGAAGAAAGCTCACTCACTGTAGATAGTGATTTACAAGAGGCAGGTAAACATCTACCCCTTCTAACAATGTATAAGTCATTCATTACGTTCAGATTACAGCAGCGGTGGTTGTAGAAAAGCTGAAGTTTTGACGAACATTTAAAGAAATGGTGAAACCTAAAGCACAAAAAATTGAGCAAATCAGATTTTTTTAAGCAGAGCCAGCTTCACTTTTAATCTACGAAAGCAGAAATGCATACATTGCATCATCAAGTCGCAGCAGATAAGTTCATATTTATGGACCTCAGCGTAGTCAGTATTCCAGTCAGTCAGTTTATTGCGTGAGCAAAGGACAAAAAAGTGTGTGATTTTCTGCGTAGATTAAATGATTTTTTATTTTGACTGCAGAGATTATTGAGTCAACACTTCCTGTTCATTATGAGTGTCTCAAGGAGGGGAATTTAGTCAGAGATGCTCTGAATCAGAGCTCATAGTCTGAGATCACCACATACAAACAAACTGCTTCTCTCCATAGCTGATGAAGAGAATGATGGGTTTGTACAGGCTCGTATCAAACTTATACGACTGAGTCAATATTTTGACTTGTAGGAAATACGGCAGTAGTTTAATTTCCTCACATATGATTTTTACAGTGAAGAATTAATGGGGTAGAAAGTGTTCATATCAGAGTCTCTCCGGGTTTTTTTTCCAGAGCCGATGGTGTTTTTAAGCTGGGCTTTGTTTTTTCAGGCTCATCATCATGCTGCAGCTCAGTGTCTGAGCTAGTTGTCAGGATTCGTGGTGTGTATATGCACCGTCGAACAATTCCTCCACTCTTTGAAACGCCGCGAGGAAAAGGGCACACGCTGCTCGGCCTCATTTTCCATATCCGATTTGTCTTTTTTTCCATTGTCAAATATCAATCACTTGCGAGGACGGTTGTGGAGTAACGCTGCCCTAAAGACAACATTCCAGTGTCCAATATCCTGCTTAAGTGTGCGCATGAAATTACCATGCAAACAGCGTTGGGCCTCATGGCTGAGTGAGCTAAGAAGCTTTGTGAGTAACTGAGCTGTCAAATCAGTGTTAGCATTCCTCTGTCAGTAGCCCTGCCTGTGTATGATGATGTCACTCCACTCACGGCGAGGCTGTGAATGGACGTGCATTATCAAAGTTATAAAAGGGGCTCAACACCTGCTGTATGAACGCATGAAAAGATTTAGGGAGACCCAGTGGCTTGCTTGCGTACGGATCATCACAGAAAAGTGGGAAACTGCGTCCCAGTGTCTGATTCCAGAGTGACAGACGTTTCGGAATCGTGATGTTCTTTCCATGTGTACACAAAAAAAAACCTGTTGAGCAGTGTGGACATCTTGTCCCGGTGAGAACAGAACAGCACCGACGAGCCGTCAGTCACGTCCCCACCTCTCCTGTCTCCCCCCCTCCAGGTCGGAACTTTCACCACGCATCTCGGCGAATACTTCCTGGAGCCCCTCTTAAACGCGGCGGGGGAGGAGTACGACGACGAGCACAACAAACCCCATCTCGTCTACCGGCACCAGAGGAAGGGGAACGTCTCGAGTCCCGGCGAGCCCTGCGCTGCCTCAGGTAACAGACGGAATCAAACCGCCACCCCCTAACCGCCGGCTGTCTGTTTTTAAACCCACAATCCACTTTTTTTCTGATTGACTGCAATAAACGCCGCCATATAATTTTAATTATAACCAGTCGCGATTTTGGGGCTTAATTGAGCAAAACCGGCCCCGTCTCTGCCTGCTGTGTTCACTCCTCCTCTGGTGGGGCGTTCAGGAGCTCCGACAAGGACAGGAATAATGACTTTTTAGTTTGCAGGTGGACTGAAAAGAACAGAGGAGGTTTTTCCGCTCGGTAGGCCGCTTGAAAGTCCGCCCCCACCCACCCCCCCCTCACACTTTTCATTTGAATGTTTATGGCCCAAGCCTTTTGGGTGGTGCAGAGGCCCTCCAGAGAAAGCGGGGTGAGCGAGTGGAGCTCGCCGTCACGGAGGGCCCCGAAAGTTGTCAGCCTCGAGGGGCGGCCTTTTGTCGAGCCGCGCAATAAATCTTTTATGTGCTGACTGTTTGATTTGGTGGTTGTCTGAACCCCGGCCTTTGTGGCCCGACGGTGGCCATTGTGTGTGCCGCTGGTTTCAAAAACTTGGGGCTGACCTGATGGGCAAGGCCAATGCTGCCTTGATATGCTTTGGCCTTTCATTCTCTCGGTCTGTGTGTGGTAAACAGAGACTGAGAGAGAGAGAGAGGCACTCTCAAGCTCCCCCTTCTCAGACTTGTTCAAATTTACTTTCCCCTCAATTACCCAACGGGTGAAGTCTGTGAGAAGGACTGGAGAGGTCTCAGGAAGATCGGCCGCATCCTGAATCCTAATCTCAGTGACTGGAAATTGAATTTCTATAAAAAATTCTGGTAAAAAATTATATTCAATTGACTGCGGGAAAGGAAAAAGCAGGCATATAGAAGGTATTAGACACCTGTAGGGCGTCATCAAAGGGGAGACGGGTAAACAATGGGCTGGAGGATTAAAAGAACCAGTGGTCCTGGTTTGGGATTAGAAGGCATCCCAGCCAGCGGCTCCTCAGCTTGATCAGATAGGTCCCTTTCCAGATGTGTCGATAAGTGGGTCCTTTGAAGGCAACACTGAGCCAAGACTCTCCTCTTGTTTTTTTCATAGAATAAAGCGAGCAGTGCACGCTACTACTAGCAGGTTAGATATAAACACTGAGGAGGCGCGTGCCACTCTGCCTGCTAAATACTTGTAGTGGCTGCCATAGCTGCTGGAATTTTTGGCATTTCCCTCCGGGCTTAGGATTTACCCCCGTAGCTCTTCTGTTTTCTTTCCTCTTCAGTGTGCTTATTAAACTAAATCATTATATTTCTGGGATCGGAAAAGGCTCCTGATGTGCAGCACAGCCAAGCTGCTCGCTAGAAAAACGTGGATTGTAAACAGAATATTTAGTAGAGGGTTCTAAATAAGGGCTTGTTTATATCCAAATATTCCAAGGAGACTATGTAGAAGACGGTAGATTAAATAAATATTATTGAGCAAATTGCTGTAATCAAAACAGAGACTCGCTTCTTGAGCCATTTGATTTGAACCCTCACCCAGTGGTCAGTGGGTCACACCCTCTACGGCTTTATTGCCATTGGAAAAAAGTCAATGGTCACAGGGCTACAGCTTCCCAAATGACCTTTAAGTTATGGTAACCCCTCCAGAACCAAATTAATTTCTAGCTAACAATGGTAATTTTGTAAACGATCTGATCTTATAGATGTCTGCGATGCTGGTAAGGGGCAGATTCTTGGATCTTTCAGAAGGTCATCCTATGAGGCTTTACTGTCTTTCGCTTCACTCAATGTGTCAGAGAACTCCTGTCCCAAACATAAACTCTGACTCTGCGTGCTCAGCTGTTTGACCGGAGGTTTGGAGTCCTTAGTCCAATCCCATGGAAAAGCCCAGTGGCCAAGTGTGCCTACTTGTCAAACAGCTTCTCTCAATCTGTAAAGAAAAATTATTCTTTCTCTCTGCTAGTCATGAATCCTCTTCATATACTGTTTTTTTTTTCTGTACATGCACCCTTAAAGAAAAACACACTTAAAACATGACAAGGATAAAAGAAGCTATGATTTATCACGCACAACTCCAGGAAACAAAATAGCTATCAGCCGAAAGATAGATCTACTCAGATACCCATTTCCAATCAGATATGATGTCTGAGAACACTTCAGTGTGGAGTCCTGAATCTTAAAGCTCTAAGGCTTCCCAGAGTTTGTTCACCTTCAAAGAAAAAAGGTGCTGAAAAGAAAAGGAGGGCTGCGCGTCAGCAGAGATTAATTCAACAGAGACGAAGCTTTGTTTCCGACCCTGTGCGTTTCACCTCTGACAACACTCCGGTACCACGCTTTGTCATGCATGTGCTTTTTTGAAGTGTTAGCTTGATGCAAAATCCCTTTTTTGTTACGCGGGCAGTCATGATGTGGCCATATACCTGTCCTCTGAAGTTTTTTCTCCACCCTGTGTGTTCAGGAGCTGAATGGATGGGGACTCAAAATGCTCTTTCTCAACCTAAACTTCACGCAAGAAATTTAGAAGCAGGTCAGATATCTGAGCGGCCTGGTGAAATACGCCTTCACTGAGTGACGTACTTAGCGGTTTTGTCGGTTTTCCTCCTCTGGCAGCCGTCCTGGGTGGCTTCCCCGCTGTTTAGAATACCTGTGAAGTAGATAGCTGTTGAGTGGATGATTAATGTTTTAAAGCTACAGAGTGCCCTGTTGTGCTTGGTTCTGTTTTTTTTTTTTTTAAAGCATCTCAGTAAGAAGCTCAACAACCTCCGTTCACAAAACAGCTTCAAGCTTTAATAACACACTCTGCCGGGCATCTGTCTCTGAGCCTGCATGCGATTCCCCGCGTCGTCCCTCCACAGAGATAACCACAAAGATGAGGGCGACTGCAGATATGGGCAGATTCTTCTTTCGCCGTCCCCCTTTTAGCTTGCTAAAATCCATGTGAAGACAAACAAGAGGCGAAGGGAAGCGGAACTGGGCAGCAGCTCTTTCTCACAGTATCTGGCTGCGCGTCTAAAGCTGCAGGGTATCTTTTTTTTCTTCAGTTTTTTTATCCGAATCAGAAAACAGTGAGTTGAATATACTGACAGTTTGAAAGCTAAATGAAATCAAATCGGCTAGTGTTCCAGAGTTGGCCCTCGGACACATTTCACCAGATATCTTGACGGCTAACTGAGGGAAGCTGGGGACGGTGACATGGCATCGTTGCCCCCCCGACCCTCCAATCAGCATATAGGAGGCCCTGCCATTGGTGCTCAGTGTGCGTACATGGCAGTTCAGGAGCTGGCTTCAGGTTGTTATGTCAATGGGTTTATTTACTTGGAAAAATGTCCTCCCCCGACTGTGCTTTGAACTAGCCGACTTGAATCGCTGCCCGATCTCCCCTCGCGCTCTCATGTATGTGAATGAAAACACTTGTTGATTGTGACCTCACTTCTCTCTTTGTTTGGAGTCATTTTCTTTTGAAAAAGGGTTGTGTTGAGAGCCGTCAGCGTCCAACAGTGATCAGAAAGCTCCCACTTTGGAGAAGTGGGAAGGAATGCCGACAGTGGAGTCACTCAGAACTTTGCCACCGAAAAGCTGTTGTGTTTTTGTCAATTAAAACACCTCAAACGGGAAAGGATTTTAGAGCATTTCCAAAGAATGCCTCATGGAGGACCCCTGGCGATGTGGACAGAATGGGAGAACACATTTTAATAACAACTAATTCAAGATGGAGTGTTCATAAAACCTCTTTGACATTTTTTAATTAAGTTATATTAGATGGAACAGAAACTCTCTGTATGGAGTAGCTGTCTACTTAACTAGCAGAATTCCTCGGCACTTCTCTAAAATGAAAGTACATTCAAAAGTACTTCACAGAATCCCCCACTTTTTTTTCTTCCCAGAAGTGTACATTTACTGGGTTTACTGGGGTCGTCAGACTTTTTTACTAGGTGTCACTAGCAGCTATGCACACATTAAGGCCTTTGTGTTCCTACAATTGGAACAACTGGGATTTTTGACTGGAGCGTTGGCCCTGACGGGTCAGCGGTAATCACTCAGACAGCCTTCTTCGCCTTTAGGATCTGGCATGGGACGGTGTGACGCTTGTAAAGGTCCAATGGCTCCATTAGGCTCAGGTTTGACATGCGCCCTCCCGCCCCTCTGGACTGACTGAGGTCCCAACCCACTCCAGGTGACACCTATTGTTGGCCCCACAAAAAGCCGTTTTTTAAGCACTGGTGTGGTTTGCTTAGGTATGCGTGTTTGTAAAAAAACATGTGTCGTCCGGCTGAGTACTGGGACTTGCCAAGTGATCATCACAGAGTTTTGAAGATGATTCTCACTCCATTTGTTGGTCTTGACAGGTTGGCAGCACCCTCCCAGTTCCAGTCTGTGTCTTACACACCCACTTCTGGTTTGGGTACGTTTTATATCCATTTTTGTTGTTGGTGGTCAATCTGAATTTCTTTTCCCTTTCAAATAGGTATTGTTTTTTTTAAGATGACACGTTGGTCTTTTTAGATTGTAATGCCCAGTTGCCCAGTCCCATTTGCGCCACAGCTTTCATAACACAGCATGACAGACAGCGTAAGCTGCTAATAATTGCACTGGCTGTCACCTGGTGTTAAGAAAACAGCGTCTGTGGACAGGACAGAACAGCAGCATATGCGGTCAGTCACTTTAATAGCCGCCATGTGCCGGCCTGTCCGGAGGCGCTGGCCCCGCTGAACCCCATGTCTGTCGCGTTGTCCCCGGAGTTCCCGTGACAGATTCCAGCTCGGGCTATTTCTGCCTCCGTCTACAGTCTGGACATTCTTCCCCCAGATGCTGGCGGAATGGAATGGTTTCTAACAATTTGTTTGATGGTGAGTGATTGCGCGCTGACACGGGTGACAGTGGGAGATGAGACCGGGTGACAATGTTGTGGCGACGACTTCCCGGCGAGTCGGACTTTGGGACGGCGGGCCTAAGATCCAGCCGGTGGAACCACGCTGCTGCCCATCACGCAAGAGGCGACACATCGCTCCAAACCGCAGACCGGCTTTGTAAATGTCACGGCCAAACATGGCGCGGGACCATCAGTAATTATCCAAGCTTAAGGGGATATCCTTTCCATTCTAACTCACTTAAAGACAAAATCATGCCTAATTTTATTGGAGGTCACAGGCAACAGACCCTAACGCAAGGTGATAGATGGTGTGAAAAAAGGAGAGCAGTGGAATTCAGTTGCTTCAGCTTTGGGAGTTGCAATACTCCCCTCAGTAGTAAGCTCAAAGAAAACTGACTCAAATTAGATGTTACAGACTCTAATTCGACTGAATCCAGAGAGTTGATGGGGTAATTCGCTCCCAGGGGTTTGCGAATATTCAGTTGAATGGCGGAGACAGGTTTATAAAGGTTTCATAAAGTAGCCTCTCAATAGTTCTGATATGCAGTCATGGTCACAACCATTTGTGAATCATTCAAAAGACACTAAAGGTTTCAGACTCCTCAGAAATATAACTTACTTAAAAACTCTTTAACCGAGCAGTTCAGTGAAGACATGCTATGTCTTGTTAGACATTACTGCTCAAGATAGATGGTAGTTTAACTGGCATTTAGACTCCTTTGCTCTTAACTCTATGAAACATTTAAACAAATCTGTGAGAGGCAGAAGGGATAAATCATGGTGTACCACTGTAGGCCTTGTAGGCAATGGTAATTCAAGACTGTGTGGAAATATCCGAGTATGTAGGTTCAGGTTATTGTTGCTCTGAATTTTGACAGAATTTATTTTACTTAATTCTCTTAGGAAATAATTTCTTGGCCTTGCCTTTGGGTTGCTCACCAAAAACTCGGGCAAAAGAAATATACTGATTCATTAGTTCGCTTTAAAGGCAGCAGAGTGGTCCAAAGTGATTTTCTGCTGGTGTTTACAATGCCGCTCTATCAACCATCATTTCCTTCACTAAGGATGATTTTTGATGCTGTGATTGCAATCTAATTGTATATTTTGCTTTCTGTAGCCGCTTTTACTTAAAGCATGGATTAATGTTCCAGATTTGCCCACATTGCTGTCAAAGAATTTGTGTTTTTGTAGCCATCATTCTTCGACTGTCATCAACTAATGAGGACGATTAATCAAGTCAGAAAAAGGTTTATAATTCTTAGGAAGCATGGAGGGAGTGGATATTTTTCAGATGTGATTTCAAGTCAATAAATGACTCGTCTGCTGGTTAACTCACAGGAGATTAGTCCAGTGTTTCCAGCGCCTTTCCGTGGTGTTATCCCTCTTTTCAGGAACGCTGTGACTACAAACGCATTCTTCAGCTGACTACCATGCTGTCTTTTGGCTCGCCTCTGAGCTGAAAATAACAACTGCGAGCACTGTAAGCGCACGAACCCCGTGTGGCCCTGTGGGGTCAAAAGCTGCACCGCTTCACTTTTGAAAGGCTTCTTCAGAAACAACAATTAGCTGCCTCTGCCTCTCGCCGTCTAGCCACAGAATTGCACTTAATTGTGCTTCTGTCTGCGGGAGTTCTAACATCCAACCCCCCCCCACCCCCCCTCCTCTGGTTATACTGTCAGTTAAATTCCACTAACAAGTGTGTCTGACCTTACATAGGCATTATGTATCAAGTGTAAGGTATACTGTCTCTTTAATTGGTACCTGTATAACGGAGCGCTTCAATTCCCAGTGGGCCACTGTGTAAGAATGTTAATTAGTCCGACAATGAAAGGTGGGTTTGCCTTTGTCGGACTCTCGGCATTGATACTTATGACAAAGAGGCAAAGGAGCGTCTAAGAGAAGCTCTTTGATCTAGTTTGTAATCCCAGAATCCCTTTGAACAGGGTGGTGTGCATGAACACGCTGGGACGGAAAATGCATACACATCAGCAAAAAATACTTCCAAACTGTAATGTTCACAAATTAAAGCAATTAAACGCTTTATTGGAAACACATGAAGTGGCTCCAACCCAACTGAACTGCGCAAACAGCTGTTCACTCTCAATGTGTATGGGGTGCAGTCGGTGCCATTGGCTGTGAATTTGAGAGCCAATGCGCATTGTGTTATTAAGTCATTATTACATAGACAAATGCTTACGCACTGGTGCAGCCTAATGGATGTCTGAAATCTATGAACACAGATGCGTTTGCGGTGATGTCATGTGTCTGTGTTCAGCACTTTAGGACAGTCACCCCTGTCTTCCTATGGTCTAAGTAGCAACTCGCTTCTCTCTGACAGAGGGATTTCAGTTTAAGGCGATTTGGGAAAAGTTGTGTTTGGCTAATCTGTACCATTGCAAAGGCTATTACAAGAACGAGCGCACAGTCATTTGGCCATGTTCTCTTTCCTTTTTTTTTTTTTTTTGTCATATCCCATTGTATCACCCTGAATCTCAACACCAAGCTCTGAGGACGCAGATACTCGGCTGTGCTTTGATAATCCCTTTGATGTCAGTCCGCCTACGTTGATGAGTCTGTTTAAGGGGTTTAGCGTCGTCGCTTTGGCCTCGGAGAGTTTTTTCCTTTTTTTTCCAGGAAAAACACAAAGCTGTCTTCTGGCTCAGCTGTGTGCTCAGACTGGACTTGGATGCCGGGGCCTGGCATGAGGAAGCTGGGCCTGGCGGTGGCAGGAGCCCGTTGGCCAGGAAGTCACGCTCTGCCTCGCGTGCCCGCCGGGGGCAATCGCCCGAATACTCGCGCAGCTCTCAATCGGTTTTTCTTTCCGTGTTTCTTCTTTTGGCTCGCGGCCAAACAGATACACACAATCTCTCTTTGTGCGAACGTCTGGAAAGATTGAGTTTCCTGCGCACAATGGAACTCTTCACTATTATCATTCAGCCAAGAGTTGAGGAGGTTGTTTAGGAAGACGGACTCCAAACTATGCCCGCCTGGGAAACAGAGACTGTCTCACTTAAGTTCAGTTATTGGTTGAGGTTGGTGCAGTTTGATCTTAAATGTATTGGGAAGTCGTCCTGAAAAAAGGAAAAAGAAAAAAAAAAGAAATTTCCTGTGGTACCTACATTGCCGTCACATCTGTCTGCTTAGATAATTTGACAGTTCCTCAGGCTGCGTTTGTTGTCTGGTAAATATTTAAATCAGACGTCCTCTGACAGAGAGGCAGTGAGACTACTGTACAAAATCATGTTGTAAAATATCACAGCAAATCAGCACAATGGTCACTAACTAGAATAAGTCCCTAAAAATACAATTGATTGCTGTCCAATGGCAAGAAACATAGAAATAGAAAACAAATGGCTAGGTTTTACATTTCTATGGGTGGAGGGGTTTAAGAGGTTTAAGCCTTTTTTCTTTCTTTTTTCCCATTTCCGTGTTACTGTGTTGGTAAATCTGCTTCATACTTCTCACGTTTTTCCTGATCCTATGCTCCAATGAAAAAAACCTGCTCGCATTTACTGTATTCTTCTGTCTACCTCTTTCAACTTCGTTCTGTCATGGTGAAGGAATCCATCACCCGTAGCCAGCGCACACGTGCTGTTCAGCTGACAGAAGTGCACCAGCTGAACGTGCACGGGGCACAGCTGTCACTCCGGTGCTAGGACTGCTGTCTGGGGCATTGATGTGGAGCCTGTAAATGAAATTGTTTCAGTCTGGCTCTCAATATGGATAATTTCTTTCATTCAGCATGATCATCACCATTTGCCATCATTTTCAGATAATATATACTGGCCAAGGCCAGAGAAGTGGGATAATTTGGGGTGGGTGTGTTATCCCCCCTTTCGGAGTGCATACTGAGCCAGGTCCATCTGAAAGTCGGTAAAGTGTGTTCAAGGGATTTTTCTATTTTTCATTTGCAAATGTTGAGGCAGCCTGAGAGCATAATGCCTGACCTTAAAGGTGTCAGTCTTAAAGCTCAACAATGACTTGACTCCCCTGGTCTAACAGCTTTCCAAGGTAACTGGTTGGGTGACTGGTTTTGGGGGTGCATTATGCTTTCTCTGTAGATGCCTGTGTAACATACAGCAGTGAGAATTCAAAGCTGATTTGCATAAGAAAACCTTAAGTCCTTCATGTCTCCTTTCTTTTAAAACAGGGAAGTCTGAGAGCCCAGCCTCCCCTGAGAGCAGAGGGAATATGGGAGAGGAACTGGACTCTCTCAGGGCTACCATAGATGACCAGTATCGCTCCGATGGCAACTCCACCGGCGGCCCCACGGCGTCCAAACGCAGACCCAAGCGCTTCCTCTCCTACCCGCGCTACGTTGAGTTGATGGTGACTGCGGACGCCAAAATGGTGCGTCACCATGGAAGCAACCTGGAGCACTACATCCTCACAATCATGTCAGTAGTAAGTAAAATAATGTTTCTCAAAATATTATTTTTATTTTCCGTATCAATGATTTTTGAGTAATTATTTAACAATGTGGTTGTAGGGTTTGATTGGTTATGTTTTGTGTGTCCAAGGATTTTTTTTTGTCCAAAACTATTCTATTCGTATAGTAATTTATAAAGTAATATAAAGTAATTTATAAAGTCTTTCTCATTTACACTATTGGCAGGAAAGTTCCAGGAAAAGTTGCAGGAATGTCTTTGATTGAATAATTTCCCTCTGGGATTATTAAAGTATTTCTGATTCTGATTCTGAATAGCAGTATTTAAATTTCTTAGATCACACCATTCAAACACATTATTGAGTTCCTTCTTAGCTTCTTCTTCACTGATAAAATCAAAAGTCAATGCAAAAGGAAATTTACCCTTATAAATATATCCACTAGTAGAACTTTACTTTTAGTTTTATGGAAAAAAAATAAACCCTTAAATAAAGAAAATCAAGGCAATGCACTTCAAATGCAGGTTCAGAGAAAAAAGTAAGTTCACAACTTACAATATTAATAGTTAACTGAGCCTGATAAAATTCTATTTGCCTAGTTTGACACTTTCTTTATTCAAAAAGTGAAACTTCAGTTAAACATTTACCACCTTACATTACACGTACTTTACTTAAGTTATCTCTGTGAGCAGAGCCAGGAACTGAGCTCCACATCTGGCTGTGGACACAACAGAGATCTCTCCATGGCACGACACTATTTAAAGGAGCTGTATGTAAAAATGTAAACATATACATTTGTGCCCTTAATTTAAGTGCTTCCTGTCTCAGATTTTACTGTTTGACATTTTGGTTGTAAACCCTGAAGTGACCTCAGCAAGCTGTGTCAACCAAAAGCTAACTTGTTAATTGGCCCCCGTCTGACTCAGCGTCTTGACCCTCTTTATGGCCAGCGGATCAGACCAGAAGGCAGGCTAGGAATCAATTCATCGAAAGTGGGATTGAATGGGTCGTACAAGTGTGTCACAGCAGAATAAATTATCACTTTTGCTGAATGGTTCGTTCCGTCTACCGTTTCTCACCAGTGCGGCTGAATGTCCAAGATAATTATTAACTTACGACGGAGTAATGATTGTCGATATAGTGTTACCTTTAAATAAGATTGCAGTCAATGTTTTGAATGTGCCAGTTTTTATAGTCAGGTTTGAAGTCTCCAAGATGAGGTTTTTAGTGCATCAGTCAAGGAACAGCCCCAAGTCCCCAGGACCTGGGAAGTTGTGTCAAATGTAAATAAAACAAAAATGCAGTGATTATTTTTAGATTTACCAACCTAACGTATCATTTACAAAAGGATAGAGAAAACTTTTTAAATATTGGGCCAACGTTTGTCTCTTTTTTGGAGAAAAAAATATCAATGTCTTGAAACAGAGATTATTTTCTGGTTCGTTCACCATCTGAAAACAAATGTTTTCTGGACTGGTCCGAGATTCCTCCACATTTTTTATAAAAAGCTTTCCAACAAACTACTAACCCCTAGAAGCACTTCTGCCATGAAGTAAGAGATGAGCTAATATTTTCAATGAAAAGCGTCAAAAAGATTTTTATATATAATTTAATTAAGGCATTGGTTTGTGAGATTATCTAATCATTTAATTCTCTGAGATAATCAATACCGTGTCATGTAAAAGAGGGAAGATCGAGTAAAAAAACATTTTACTTAAGGATACCTCCTTTGCTGCAGCTGCCAACTGAAAATAAGTAGGATTTTTTTTTCAACTTTAAAGCCTGTCAGTTCAGTTCCAAAACCATAAACTCTTTAGGATAAGTCTTATACACAATGAGTGCAAATTGCGAGACAACTCATGAGCAGAATTATGGGGATTACAGTCATGATGAAATGTCCCATCAGCTTTATAAGATGATATTCTCTGCCAAAAGGGAGTGCAGAGAGTTCCCTCTTTCATCTAACTAATGTATTGAATAATCGTTTTATCGTTAACTGGTAAAATGTGGTGTATTTTAGTGAATCTTGGATTGTTATTTTTCATAAGATCGCCTTATTAATGTTAGAATTTTGTAATCTAACTTGTGGCCAAAGCCAATTTAACGAAAGTACACATACGCAGAACTTTCTTCTGTGAGATCTGTTAGAAAAAAAGAGATGACTCGAACCCTCACTTTGAAAGACCAGAGCTTGTATTTTACTGGAACGTGTGGGTAAAAGTAAATGTGAGGAGTTACATTTGACTGATGAGCCAACCCCACATATGAAGTCACTTTACTTCCACCACAATTTAACCACAGCTGTCGGCATATGAGGTAGAAAACTGCCTGAAAGTCTGAGTCAGATTTGAGCATTAACGTGCTTGTACCTTCTTTTTGGGGAATTGAAAGTAGCTAGTGGATAGAGCTTCTGTTTATTTCTCGCTACAGATAAATAAAATAAATTAATCTAACAAAATATTAATATAAGTTTAGATTATTTTAGAGCCTGAGAAATCTTTGATGTTGCAACCAAACTTTTGACTACAATTCGTAAATCGATACTGATCTGTGACATGTATCTAAAAACCTACTGACATATCTTTCCTCTGTTTATGTATGGCTCAGAGAAATATTCTTGGCTGCAGTTATTTGATGATAAACTTGGGTGAGAGAAAATGGACCAATGTCCTGAGCTCCACAGCCAGACTGAGAAAAAAAAAAAAAGCTCTCTGTGTGCCGGCCATGGCCACGTTTACCTAGGCCCCAGGCTAAGGCTAGCTAAATGTTTATGGAGAAGTAATGAGTTCCTGTCATGAGGCCGGACACAGCCTCTGGACACTGCTGTCCAACCATGACATGGGTGCTGGTGAAAAGCAGAGGGGGGATTGAGGCGGATTCTTATTTTCTTCACAGTGAAGCTCCTAGCTCCAGCTTTGTTGAAGTTTCATGTCCATTGCTTATCAAATGTCTTCTATTTTAAGGAATTAAACTGACTGTAATGCCCTGTTGGTTATTTTAGCTTTGGGTAAAGTAAGTTGGTTAATACAATATACAGTATTTAAAGAGCAATTTCAAGATAAAAATCAAAACATAAACACAAAAAGTTTTGTGAATTCTCAAAAAACAATTGTTACAATAATTGTAAAAAGGAAAGATGGAAACTTTAAAGATTTAGCCTTTGACCCCAACAGTTTGGATCCGAAATATTCTTAGCCCGTTATTTGGAGTGATGCTACAGGGACAATGATCTTTGAAAGAAATGTCATCTTTGAAAAAACCTGATCTTACATAGCTCCCAAAAAACCCCCAAGAGGCAGAACTGTAATCACATGATCCATATAAACATTAAAAGATCTTTCAAACAGATATTACATGAACCATTTTAAAGCAAAGCCACACTCTGAGATCCAACAAAAAGAGTTTAGCTTTCACACTGACTTTAACTGTGCTGTGGCTCAGGTTAGTGGAGGTTTGCATTTCTTGTCTGTATGTCTCTGTCTTTGTTACAGGTGGCAGCAGTGTACAGAGACCCCAGCGTAGGAAACCTCATCAACATCATGGTTGTCAAGCTAGTGATTATCCACAATGAGCAGGTGAGTACGGGGTCTTCATACAGGTCTGTTACATGGCTGACGTCACTGCCAGGTGGCTCTGGCTTTTTTTTTTTGTCTGCGGGGGCCTGTTTGAAAGCACATGGCTCGTCTTGTGAGTCTCAGGTCTCATGAGACATGCCCTTGTAGAACAAACAAAACACCTGCAAATGAGAGGCGCATGATAGTTTGTCGGAATGGTTCTGGTTAAAATAGTTTTGGTTCGAACAATCATTTGCTGACAACTCTGCTTATACAAAGGCGTGTTGGGTGAAAGCATGAACCCAATACATAATGAACAAAATTCATCCATCACTGCTACAGCTGTAGACCTCTGATTCCAATCACTACCTACTGCCTGGAAAAAGGGCACCTGGTGTATCCCAACTTATAGAGTGCGGGCAGTACAGCTATTATGTTGTCAGTTAAAAAAAAAAAGAAAAAAAAGAAGGAAGGGCGAGTTTGAATGAGGAGGCCTTTGTCAGGCTGTTTAAAATAGCTGCTAGATACAGTGATGCAGACACAGAATGTAGAGACAATTTGAGACCAACTTCTCGAGTGAAACTGTAGTGAGTTTTCATTAATTGTAATTTAAACAACAAGAAGCATCAAATAGAAGTTTAATGTTGGTGGAGAATACATTTTCTCATTGGTTGTTCCCGTGAACAAGGGTTCCAGGAGGCAGAGAGATGCTGTGATGTTTTTCTGAATCTCTATGTAGGGTTTATATACAGGCTCATAATATGATGAATTGTATAATACACAAGCAGCATTCTTGTTTACAACCCCAATGTCACCGAAAAACAGGAGGGGCCCACGGTGAGCTTCAACGCTGCCACGACTCTGCACAACTTCTGTGTCTGGCAGCAGAGCCAAAACGTGCAGGATGACAGCCATCCCTCCCACCATGACACCGCGCTCCTCATCACCAGGTACACAACTATATGGCATCCCTCCTCTGAAAGCAAACATATTCAAATGAACCGTAAGATAACAGTGTTTTCTGTTTTTCTTTTTCTCTGTTTTTATAGGGAAGATATTTGCCGTGCAAAAGACAAATGTGACACTTTAGGTAAGCGTCTTCCTTACCTCCACCCTCACGTCCCCTTCAGTGAAACTTGCACTTCGCTTGCCTCTGCTCATAAACTACACAGTAACGGGTTTATGGCAAAACAGAAGCTAATAATATCTAATAATATCATATAAACAGAACAGAGCAGCAAAAAGAGGCGGAGCAAAAACACTTTCAGTTGCCTTTGAGACAATCTATCAATCTAACCTATCTTTTCTTGACATAGCAGTGTGTCCATTCGTCTCGATACACATGTGTGTGCGTGTTTGTGTAGGACTGGCAGAGCTGGGGACCATGTGCGACCCGTACCGCAGCTGCTCCATCAGCGAAGAAAACGGAATAAGTGCCTCCTTCACCATCGCTCATGAGCTGGGCCACGTGTAAGTCGCTGCTCGAAGCCTGCAGCAGACCCTTCGACCCCCCGAACGCAAACTCATACTGTACACGCACAACCCGCCTCACCCCTCAAAGCCAGCCGTGACAACAAAAGCCCTCTTATAAAGAGACGTGGGGTGCTGCAGACACAGGTGCAACACATAATAAGGTTAAAAAAAAAGAAAAAAACTTTTAATAACATTCCAGTCTATAATACCAACTATAGTTAGTCCTCTGTGTGTCTAAGCTTTACCTTGACAACGACAAACTCGGATGAAAGTCAGAAAAAAAAAATCTAATATAATTTTAAAAAAGGCTGGATAGTTAAATAAAGCAATTACGTAGTTAATAGACTCTAAGAGAGCAAAAGCTAAATATTGTCTTCAGAATTCGGGCTCTCGCTCACATCCCAGCTCTTTTGTGACTTAATCATCTCTACAGTGCATCCTATGTAAGTAAGTTGTCTTATTTCGGGTAAATGCTGGGTTATCGCGGCATGCCCGTCTGCCAGACATGTTTTCACAACAACTAAGTGCTACCCAATGTGTCACGGTCATTAAGAAAAAAAAAAAGCCTGCATATGTATCATCTATCTGAAAATGACTGAGCCAAAACACATGACTGTATCTCTCTGCTGTTTCTTCCAGACATGTCGCTCAAAATCCCTGTAAATCTGTCATTGTCTCCGGAGTCAGTTGCAATTCGAGAAGCCTTACATTCCACTACAGATATGAATTAGTGCATTTAGATTATTTACAGCAACAAGCTCACCTTAAGGACTCATTTTCCCTGTTTTTTTACCCCCTGCCCCCCTTTTCTCCTTTACTCTGAAACGCCTTTTGGAATCTGGAATGTGACTGAAATGTTCTCTCTTATCTGAGAACGGTGAAAAGGACCAGTGTCAGTCAGTGTGTGCCTCTGAGCCACGGCTTAAGAGCAAAAGAATGTCTCCTGCCACCTTCTGTCACGCTCACACATTCTTCCAGCGGAGGGATGGACCCAGAGCGGCGGCAGATGAACGCCCCCCCCCCCCCCCGTCCCCCTCATATGTGGGTTTGTTTATGCGGAGGGTCGAGCAGCTGGAGGGCCCCGGCCCCTCGCCGTTTCCCTCGCAGGCACGAGCTTCTGAGGGTGTTTAGTGCCCCGGGGGAAGTAAGCAAGAGTGGGAGTCCCTCCGGAGCTTTTGCAGATTAAAGATGAAGACAGATGGACGGGAGGCCGTTCTCGGATGACTGCGGGGACACGCGGTGGCTAATAGCTGCCGTGGGAATTTTAATGGCGGCGTCATTTGATAGCATTTCCACAAGTGATTTGGATGAGGTCTGACCAAGTTTGTCAGGCCTCAGAAGTCTTTCTGGAACATGAAAGGCTGCAGTATGAGGCTGCGGGGCTGAAATGACCACGATAGTCAGTGATGGTCCTCCTTTGACATTTGAAATAGTTACAATGCGAAACCATTTTCCCTCTCGCACAGCTCTCACAGAGTCCATTTGATTTAAGTTGCTGATGTAATTAACAGTTGAGAAACTATTTCCTTTTAAGCTGAACGAAAAACATAATTTACAGTTATGACATTTAGAATGTTGACAGTTAAGAATTAAGTTCCCCATTGATCTGGCCATAAAACTTGAACTGATTTACTACCTAATTTTGCTAAAAGGCTCTGTTGTCAACAGAAACAGAAATGCTTTAAGATTTGTTCCATTCAAATGTGAGTCATGAATCCCTCGACCTCCCTTCATCATAGTGACAAAATGTACTAGGATGCAGGCACATATCCGGTTGTACACCGAGTTTGCTTGTATAATCTACAAACCTCATTCGAGTTGTCCAGCAGTCTGGCTTTGTGTGTGCAGAGATTATTACTGCGCTCGAGGCTTAATTATTTCTTGGGTGTTTGCCCTCAGGCCCTCGGCCCCTGCAGTGTGGGCTCCGTGCCAGCCCAGCTAGATCTTGTTTGTGTGGCGGTATGGATTTGAACCTCAGCCTGGAGTCCAGCGCCGGCCCACATCCTGTTGTAAACATCCCAGACATCATACAGCTGCATGCGCTCCTGTGTGTGTGTGTGTGTGTGTGTGTGTGTGTGTGTGTGTGTGTGTGTGTGTGTAAATCAGTGCGCTCGTGTGTGCATCCACCTCACGTATTTATGAGTGGTGCTCCCAATCTCTCGGACCTCTCTGTTGTGGACAGGATCAAGAAAAGTTTCTCTATTAGACTGCCGACTGTAGACAGCGTGGACGAGTTAGTTAATTAGCAAATTCCAGAGTCTTGTTCTCCTGTAAAACACATTCTGAATGTAGTAAACGTTGCTCTGATACTGTAAGAAACGCATCTATCGTTTCCCATCGCTCTCCCCACCTTTTCTTTGCACTTATCCCTTTGAGAGCGAGAGGTGTTGGGGTTTTTCCTGTAAAAATCTGCCTACCAGCCATAGACACCGGTAGATGGAGAGAGAACGTTCTGCTTAAAGTGTTGCGTTACTGTATGATTGAGGTTACTGAAGGACTTTTGAAGCTTTTACTTACTCTTAGAATGTTAGAAAAAGGGACCTAAATGAGATATTTTATGTTTAGTAGTGCGGGAGAACCAGGCAAAAGCAGGGGAAGGCTCATGAACGCGTCGGCGGCTGCGTCTGTGTGTGGCGGCCCACGGGGACTGTTAAAAACAGCTGAAAGTAAATCTTGTGACATTTATCCCTCTTACTTCGACACAGCTGTTAAGCGGCCGATAATCACTCTGTGTGTTCTCTTTATTCTCCCTTTGCCATCCTAAACCCCCTTTTTTTTTTTTTCCTTTTTCGTTCCCTCTCGCTCTGCACCAGGTTCAACATGCCGCACGACGACAACCCCAAGTGCCGGGAGGCCGGCATGAAGCACCAGTATCACGTCATGGCCCCCACCCTCAACTACGACACCAGTCCGTGGTCCTGGTCCAAGTGCAGCCGCAAGTACATCACCGAGTTCCTGGAGTACGTACGCCCGGCTCGAGTTTGCCGAAAACCGACTTGCGCTCAAAACAGACGAATGCTTTTTGGGTTTGTTTTTTTCTCACGGAGTAGCAGGACACAGTTCTCCACTTGGCAACAGGTTTTCGGGTGACGTGCTTTGCTGGATAAACGGCCCCTGCGCCCCCCCCCCTCCGAGCAGGCCCAATGTAAACTGTGGTGGAGTTGTTATTGCATGGTGTTGAGAGAATATTTCCTGTTTGAACCCGGAGGTCTTCCTCGTCCGACCCGAGCCACGGAGCTTGCAGTCT